CTAGTCTTGCACCAGTATTATGCTATTAAACTTTTTAACAGGTTTTAAAACTGTAGACTTCAGTCCTTTTTATAAATCTTTCTGGTTGGTTTTATCCATATGTAACTCTAAAGTCACATTTTCATTGAAAAATATTTCTACTGGGATTTTGATTAGATCCATCTTAGACCTAACCTTTAATTTGAGGACAAAATGGCATCATCTAATAATATAGAATATGCTTTTATTTATTGAATTTTTTCAGTATTGCTTTAGTTGTTTTATAGCTAAACTCAGAGAAGTCCTTTATATTTTTAAAACTTATTTCCAGATTTTATTGCTGTTATTATTAATTTTGTTCCTGTTTGCTTTTTCATGCTTTATTTTTTCTCCCACTTTACAATTACTCTCTGGTAGTGAATGTTGTTAATATTTTGCATTTAGACAGTATAATGATCTATTATTTTGTACTGAGCATGTAACCAATAGGTAGAAACTAAGCGCTTGTTGCTTATTGATTTTATTACCTATTGGTTACATGCTCAGTACATATTTCTAATACCTGATTTTTCTAGTTTTTCTAAACAGTTCATCCTTTAAAAATGCTAAATTTTCTCCATATGTGCGACTTTGGAAATGCAAAGTTAATTCAACTCTTTTTACTAAGGCTTTCTTCCTCATATGTCTGATTTCCTCTTCAAAACATTTTTTTGAAATTGAATAAAATGCCTAAATAAAAAGTACAAACAATTCTAAAAAATGCAGATTCTATTCCTTCTCTTAGCTTTTAAAGAGTGAAGACTTATTATGAAATATTTTTAATTTAATAAAAATGAAGTCCAAAATATTACTAAGAAGACCTTAGTGACTCAAAGAAAGTGCTGTTTAGTCTTAAAATGGCCTCCAAAACTATTTTTTAAAGTCAGGTCTATTGAGGTATAATTTTCATGCAGTGGAATTCATCATTTTTAGGTTCATTTCTATTAATTCTGACAAACACACACAGTCAAATAACCACTGTGACAATCATATCAGAATATTTCTAATCCTGAGAAGCTGTCTTTGTCCTTTGGACATCAACCTCCTTCCTTTCACACTCTGCCCTGGCAATCCAGAGTCCCTAGATACATGTTCTGCATAACATTTTTATTTCTCAAGCTTCCAACTGGAGCCAAAGCTGGCCCTTAGCAACCCACATGCAGTCCTCTGTTGCTCATTTGAACGCTGCCTTTTCTTTGCTGACAACCCACAGATCTCCATGTCAGCAAACCTGAACTCCAGCCCCAGATCCAGACAAATTTCTCCCCTGAAACTTGGCCTGGGTTCCACAGGACATGCCCAGACAAGCCTGGTGGAGCGCCCAGCCAGCAGGAGGGGGCCCTCCTGACATGGCATGCTGGTGGCATGCTGTCACCTTTCTGGCTCAGTTTGGGAGGAAGGGGTGGGGAGGGAGGGAGAGAGAGAGAGAGAGAGAGAGAGAGAGAGAAGAGAGGGAGAGAGAAACATACTAGGGATAGATGTGCCAGGAAGTTCTGAGAAATAATCCTCTTTGAATCTGTCCTGCTCTCTGTCATCTGATTGCTGAGGGGTGAGAGCCTCTGGTCTGCTGGTGAGATCCTAGAAGTCTGTCAAGCCATGACTCCCCCTGAGTCAAAATACAACATCAACACCTTGGGAAGGATCTGAGGTCTGAGACCAATTTCAGAAAATGATAGCAGCCAAAGAAATATGCTTTAAGTATGATGTCCTATGTAGTTAGAAGTTTTTCATTTTTGTCATTTCTCTAAAGGTCTGTTTTCTTCGGTTCTTCTATTCTACACACAGGGTTCAAGATGCTTTCCTAGATCACTTAAACATCATCATAAAAAAACCTATCTGTGGTTTTATGTTACCCTGTTGGAGGGTTGTCTGTGAATACAGAGAATAAAAGGGAATAAATTGCCTAACTCAATCCACCCCTAAGGCTTGCCACATTAAAAAGATATACCATATACCATGGAATCTTGGGCTGCTCCTGGAAAACTAAGAGACTGCAGTGTTACAGGGAAATTCTGAGTCTCACTTGATGTAGATAATTCTGATTTACTCTTGGGCCTATATATATAATGCTTTATATTTGTCAAAGCCTCTCAATATTCATGCTTAATAACCGGTCCTGGGAGAAGTATTGTAGCTTGTTAGTTCTTACTCTGGAGAAAAGAGAGACACAAAAATGGGTAGGAGGAAGGGGCACTTTCAAACCCACAGGCCCACAAACTCCACAATCCACTGAAGTCTGGAGTTGAACATTTGAGCTTAATTTACCTCAAAGTATCTGAATTAATAAGAATTAAATGTAAACAAAGAAGTATTTCAATAAGGTTTGGGGTTTTGTTTGTTTATATTTGCTTTTTTCTTTGTCTCTTAATCTGTGCTGGTGAATTGTTTATATATCTGGCAATCTGCTTAGCCATTATGCACAGAAGAGTTGAAAGGAAGAATGTTTTTGGCCCTTCATCTGGAAAGGCTCACACCGTCATCCTTCTCACTCAAGACCAATGCCATGCAGCTTCTGGCTTGTGAATCACTAATCTAACCAGTGTTTTACCATATTTACCCTCAGTTCTGTCTCTATACTCTGTAGAGGCACTTGTTCTGGTTTGCCAGGGATTCTACTTATAGAGATTTTTTTCTAGGTTCTTCTTGTCCTAATCAAGGAACTGGACAAAACAAACACAAAAGGAAGAGAAATTTGATATTTATTAAAGTTAGGAAAAGCAATGTGCTCTGCAGAGTGATATGGGTCAATTAAAAGCAGGAGAAGAAGTATACTCTACAGGATAAGAGAGTGCACGGTGGCAAAGAGCTTAATGGTGGCATTCTTTGTATCTCCCACACCTCAGGCTGATGTCAGGTGTAGGCTGCCCTATCCAAATCCCTGGAAATTCAAGATAGCATGTTCTGATTGTTTTCTTCACTGCTTTTCTGCTCATGCCCTGGCAGGCTCACTTGCTCAGTCAGTTTGCCACCCCCTAACTTCCTGTCTCAATACTAACAGTGTCTATCAGCAGCAACACTGAAATGCATAAATTATTTGCATGACTCTGGAGGAAGAATTGCAGCCTTGGCAGGCAGAGCTGAAATTGGGGAAGAACGTCAAAGCAAAAGCTCACTTTTGCAGGGACAGCAAACTTGAGAGTTTTTCTGTGAGCCACAGGGACACTGTCAGGTCTATTTGTTTTGGTATGTACAGGTAAGACATAGTCATTTAAAAACATGTGTTTAACAGGGCAGACCAACACCTGCTGGGTGTCGGCTGTGACAAGGAGGGAATGTGTCGGTTAATGCTGTTCAGCCCTTCCTGCACAGGGCAGCAGAGTAAGTTGATTTTTAGTGGACACAGTGAAAAAAAGTAATTCTGAAGTGTTTTGCACAGAAATAGTAGTGAAACAGAACCTGGCACTTTGCTGCTTTAGAGCAAAAAAGAGGAGAGCTGTAGGCAGGCAAGTGACTGGGATCTGCTGCCAACCTCAGAAACTTTAAAAACATAGTTTGTTGTTGTCCCAAAGAAGTCCATACCCAAACCTCCAAAGGATGGTAAGTGATGACAAGCAGATCTTCAAGTCAGGGCCTCAGTCACAGCAGAAATTTCTGTACCACTGCCACACAACTCTCAGAGTCATGGATTTTGCCACATGCAGAAACACAAACATATACACTGCTAACCCTTCTCAATCCAGATCCCTGCCAGCACCTACTATCCCAGCTGTACAAAATAATCAAGTGCACAGCTTACACGCTGGTACCCAGAGCACAGAAGACATGGATTAATTCCCATGGAAAGCCTTTCTAATTCTCAAGGATCTGTACTGGAGGGTGGAGAATACATTTTCAGAAGCAGTATGCTTCTCCAGCCTGAGTGTGTGTGCCCCAGAACTGGGGACTGAGGCCTACAAGAATGGTAATTGCTGACTCTAATGGTGTGGTGTTGCACATACTTCCCTACCAGCTGTACTGTTCTGTTGCTCTGGCCCTGTTATTATTGGCTGCTGCTCTATTTTGGGGACATTAACCTGCCCATATATGTCTGCTAGTGCCTTGCTGGTAAGCTCTTTGCTTAAAGGTTTCTCAGAAAAGGGACTTTGCGAGTCTACTTTTTACATAATTTTTAATGCATTTTTTTCCTCCGGTTGCTTCTCTTTTTCTTATTTAAACAGGGATAGGTTTTTCTTCAGGAAACCTTATGAGCTGGGCAGTTATATTATGTGAGAATATGGTGTTCTAAAGCCTGCTTTTAGGTCACACATGCAGAGCTGTGGAAACTGCCCAAACTGCTCTAAAAGCTATGTGCCAGTATCCAGCCTCCAGTTAAGCCTCACCCTGTAGGGTGAGAATTGGAGGGAACAGACCAGCCACATAATTGTCCCAGGGCCAGCATCCCACCCAAGGGAGCGGCAGGGGGAGGGGAGTCTGGGGACTTAATCCTACTCACTGTCAACAGGTCTAACAAATTTCTTTTAAGAAAAGCAACTTTTCCACCACCATTATCAGCACAAGTCAAGGCTCAGAGTATTTTAAATACACTCTCCTCCTCTACACAGTCACTGCCCTGTCTTTGACATAAAATCTATGAGTAACATCAGCCCATAAGTGTTCAACTTCCAACCTACGTCCTCAAACCTAGGCAGTCACAGAATCCTCATCTACTGCTCTGAGTGCCTACTGGGGCAAACAGAGTGTTCAAAATACAGGAAGCAGGAAGTACATGTATTGTGGGGTGAGGAAATCTCCAGCCGATTTAGGTGAAGGCTCATTCTAAGGAAGAAAGAGAGGCCTTTATGAATACTTTGAGATCTCCCACAGAAATTTCCACATAAGAGGCTATTTATAAATGCAGAAGGAATTGGGGATAAGATTGAACATGTTTTGTCTTGGAATCAGAAAGCCAGGTTTTATGCTTAACCCTATGACCACTGTTGTGGCTTTGCTGGGGTCACTGACCTACAGTTTACTTACCTGTGTAGTGAAGATCCTAATCTTACCTTATAAAGCTGTAGTCAAATAAGGAAATGTGTGAAGAGTTGCTTTCCAAACTGAAAAATATCACAGATGAAAAAAGGGTATCGTTATTGGGTTTATGTTCTGAAGGAAGTGAACTGAAGCATAAAATAGAAAAGTCAGAAACTGCCCACTCCAAGACGTTAATGCAAGGCTCTGTTTAGACTCCCGGGGAAGAATTTCACTTCTAGAATGTTCTGCCATGACAGCAGCAGTAAAAGGAACAGCTCTGATCTTGTTAGTGATGAAATAGTCAATACAGCAATCAGCTGTATAGACATGGGTAATCCTAGTCATTGTTTTCAGTATCGGGTATGGAGGACAAGGGAGACCAAACCAATGTCTACTTATCTAGTCTTTCTGAGGTGTCCTTTCCTTTGAGTTTTGCTGCAGATTGACATACTTTCCTCCTACATGTTTGAGGATTGTTATCAGAATATTTGAGTAAAACTCCTAGTTGGTAAGAACTGAAAAATACCGTGATTTTCAAAATTTTTCAAAAGTCTCATAGGCCTGGTGACCTTAGTCAGGTCAGCCATCAATTTTGGATCTGGGGATAAACATCACAAAATGAGTCAACTCAACTGAGTGCAGAAGGGATACACTCAGTTGGCAGCATTATTATTATTATTATTAGTTATTATCATTTTGTTGTTCTGATTTTTCCAACAAAGCAAAAACTCTGGCACCGGGGCTGCCTCTGCAGGGAGGGTGTTCAGTTTGTGAACACAAGAAAGGGCCCCCAAGAATGTAGAATAGCAGAATAGGCTGCTGGAGTCAAAGGGCCTATTGTCAGTAAAGTTAACACAAATTTAATAGGACTAAAACAAACCCTCTCCATTTCATTACTCCAGCCCAATAATCCAAGACAATGAAAAGAAAGAGTAGAAATAGATAATGGTCACTTTTAACATTTGTAGACTTTCATATAGATGAAGACAGAAATGAGTATCCATGTTATCCAGACCTTACCACTATTTGCTTTTAAGTCTTCAAGATGACACCAAGGCTGGCCCGGAGCAGTAGAGCTTTTCACCTTTCCTGAGAGAAGACAGAAACCTCAGAATAAAGGAGGGGTTTTGGAGAGAATGACCTTCCCTTCTTTGAACCCCACACCAAGCAGACAGGTTCCAATCCCCATTAAAATGGTGCCTCCTTCCTGGTGGCATGCTAAAGAAAACAGTGTAAATATGTAAATGGTGTATGCCTTATTAAGAAAAGTCCTAGGTTCAGTCCCCTGCACTGATGGATTGGATGGATGATAAATAGATAAATAGATAGATAGGTAGATAATTCTTTAAGCCCAGGATATGCCAAGATTAAGTGCTTTGTCTTCATAAACACATTAAATACTCTAGTAAGATTGAAGAGGTTGGGAAAGAAGATTTTAGATATCATATGGAAAATTGGGGAAAAAGCCCTTAAATTAATCCACTCCGTTACACGGAATTGTTTGGCAATTATGGTTATCTCAGCCTTTTTGAAATTAAAGTATGTGATGAAAGTCTAATCTAAGGATATTAACTGCTGTATTACTAAGTACACCACACATCCCATTTCAAAAGCATTTAAAACTATCAAAAGAAGTTATGTTGGAGAAAGACTATAATTTGCAAATCATTTACTGTAGTGCTGTACACTTACATTTTAACTTACAGATGAATGTTAAGTAAAGCAAAGTTAAATCAATTTTGCGTGATAACATGAGAGAACTTACACTCCTTGGGGTGTATGATGCCTGTGATTCAGTCTAAGGCTCCTGCCCCACAGGAACAGTTAACCCTTTGATCCTAGCACACTCCTCCTAGAAGTTATTTAAAAGTTAGACTTTTCTCTTTGTTTTTTTCCTTACTAAGTTGCTTTTCTCTCCTAAGAGCCCAATAGACTCTTAGACAGTTCCTTCCCCTCTCCCTCTCCCGCTCCCTCTCCTCTTTCTCCTCTTCTCTGGAGTTTTTAAAGTAGTTCCTACAGCTTTAGTTTTCTTTTTCTAAATTTAAAAACGTTGCTTCTGGCTATAAAATGTCTCTCCAGCCTTCAGCAGCCCTAGTCCCCTGCGGCTGTTATTGGCTTGATCTGTAAATTAACTGGAGTCACTTAGAGCCCTCAGTTAGTTTTTAGTCAAACATTAGCAGCAGTGTTTACCCTTGTGTAATCTTCAGTTGTTACTTAATTTAATGCTCGTCAGCATTATTTTTTAACATGTTCAGCAAATCCTTGGCACAGGCAGTTTGGATTCTTTGCTCTTTCCCTCCCCCTTCTTGACCTAAATCAAGCTAAATTTATCTGAGTAAAGGCTCACTCATATTTTAAAACTTACTAGTAAAGTTTTCTCTCTTCTCAAGGCAAGAAGAAAGAGTTTGCTATAGGTGGCAACCCAGCTACATTTTACCATGAGGCCTTGGCTTTACATTCTCCACTGCATCTTACATCAAAGAGAGGGAAACTGTAAATTATTAGTTTTGTTGTTTGTTGTCTGGCAGAGATCTTTGAGTTATGTAAGATGAGAAGCATCCTCAGTCTCCTGTTTTGAGGTTGGTAGTATGACCCCTTGAAGAAAACCCATTGGAAATGAACTTTGAAGCTCTGTCCAGTGGAGAGCTAAAAGCTGAACATATCACATCATAACTCATGCACAACTTTGTGTGTTTTGAATCTTTCTCCTCAGCTGCCACCACTTTGAAAAGTAAATAAATAGAGCCCTGGCCACTCTCTGGTGTTCTGGTGCTCCTTTCATATGTGACAGGCACCTTGATCCAGCACAGAACCTCTCCAAGGACATAGCAAAGGCAGGAGGAAATGGCACAAGGCAGGCACAGCTCCAGAGAACCTCAAAGCCTATAACAGAAAATAGGGATGTGGGGGAAAATGTGATGAGATTGCTTTCAAAAGATACAGTGAGCAGCTCCTCTTCATTTCCACATACTCTGTACAAAACAACTGTTTCCATTCAGAAGGTTTTGGTTGACTGCTTCATCCACTATGTCTTGGGTTCAGTGACAAGAAGACAAATGTCACCTGAAGATCTTTTACCTTTCTCAGGAAATAGGATCAAAAAGAGAAAGGATCCTGAGTCACTCATAGCTCAACTCACTATTCCAACACTTTCCTCAAAATTTGAACTTGAGTTTCATTGTCTCAGCTGTACTTTTGCTTCCTGGTGAATAGAAATCAGAATTCGCTTCTGTACACCACCAGAAAAAATCCTACTGCTAAGAACCTTAAATAGGGTGACAGCCCTACTGTGTTTCATTTGAAGAATGTAATACTAATACATGGGGCAAGAAGCAGAAGAGGAGGGAAGTTGGTACTGTAGTTCACTGGCATAAACACTTACCTGGTATAAAGAGAAAGAAGAGACAGATGGTGGGAGGAAGACAAAGACAGAGAGAGAGGAAGAGAGACAGAGAGAGACAAAGAGAAAGAGAAAGAAAGAAAGAAAGAAAGAAAGAGAGAAAGGGGGGACACTGAGGCTGCATTTAAATACTAAAACACCAAAGATATATTTTATAATCTTACTAGGAAGGAATCTCCTGGGCTGAGTCTCCATAGTCAGTCCATGGTTGGATTTCTAGAAAAATCTCATTGAGGGGTTGAATTGTGTGGCATAACTCAAGCTGCAGTTGTCCTGGGCAATCAAGAGACCTTTCTATCTCACATTACAAGTACACTCTGGTAACAAGACAAGGATGCCCACTATCATCACTCCTCTTTGATATAGTTCTGGAAACATTAGCCATAGCAATTAGACAAGAGAAACAAATTAAAGCAATAAAGAGAGAAAGGAAGAAGTTAAACTGTCATTATTTGCTGATGATATGATATTCTACATTGAAGACCCAAAACACTCCACCAAAAGACTTCTAGACTTAATTGACACTTTTAGCAGAGTAGCAGGATACAAGGTCAATGCCCCAAAATCAATAGCCTTCTTGTACACAAATAACAGACTCACTGAGAAAGAAATTAGGGAAATAATTCCTTTCACAATAGCACGCCAAAAAATGAAGTATCTAGGAATCAATCTAACAAAAAAAGCAAAAGACCTCTACACTGAAAACTACTGCACTCTGTAAAAAGAGATCAAAGAGGACATAAGAAAATGGAAAGATATCCCCGCTCCTGGGTAGAAAGAATCAACATAGTGAAAATGGCCATACTACCAAAACTGCTATACAGATTCAATGCAATGCCAATTGAAATTCCAATGCTATATTTTACAGAACTAGAAAAAAGAATTCAAAAATTCATTTGGAACCATAAGAGACCTAGAATAGCAAAAGCCACCCTAGGCAACAGAGACATGGCACCAGGTATACAATTCCCAATTTGAAACTATTCTACAAAGCCACTGTGATAAAAACAGCATGGTACTGGCAAAGAAACAGACCTGAGGATCAATGGAACAGACTGGAAGGCACAAAAACAACTCCAGATGTACTCAGCTACCTCATCTTTGACAAAGGAGATGACCATCCTCAGTGGAGGAAAGATAGCCTCTTTAATAAAAGGTGTTGGAAAAACTGGATCTCAACCTGCCAAAGATTAAAATTAGACCCTTATCTTTCACCATACACTAAATTGAAATCCAAGTGTATTAAAGATCTAAATATTAAAACAGAAACACTAAACTTGCTGGAAGGTCAATTAGGCAGAACTCTAGAAGACATTGGCATAGGGAGAGACTTTATGAACAAATCCTCAGTAGCACGGGACCTAGTAGAAAGAATAAACAACTGGAATCTCATCTTATTAAAAAGCTTCTGCACTGCAAAAGAAACCATCAACAGAACTAAGAGAAAACCTACAATGTGGGAAAAAAATTTTACTATCTGCTCCTCAGACAAAGGACTCATCTAGAATATATAAAGAATTCAAAACAATCAGCCCCCCAATATAAAGACCCGATTCAAAAATGGGCATCTGAAATGAACAGACATTTCTCAGAAAAAGAAGTCAAAGCAGCAAGTAAATATATGAAAAAATGTTCCACATCATGGGTCATTTGAGAGATGCAGATGAAAACAACACTGAGATTCCACCTCACACCACAAAGAATGGCTGCTATCAAGAAATCAACCAATAACAAATGTTAGCGAGGTTGTGGGGAGAAAGGAACCCTTCTCAATTGCTGGTGGGAGTGCAGACTGGTGCAACCACTATGGAAATCAATATGGAGATACCTCATAGAGCTGGGACTAGAGGTTCCATTTGACCCAGCCATCCCTCTGCTGAGTATCTTTCCAAAAGAATTTAAAAAATCATATCACAGTGATATATGTGCACCACTGTTTATAGCGGCACAGTTCGCAATAGCTAAAACTTGGAAACAGCCCATTTGCCCATCATTTGGAAAATGGATAAAGAAGATGTGGTTTTACTATAAAATGGAATACTACTCAGCCATAAAGAATGAGAAATTAGATTCATTCACAGTAAAGTTGATACTTTGGAGGTTATGCTCCTAAGTGAAATATATAGGTCATACATGTGTAAATGCTGAATAGTTTCTCTGGTGTGAAAAACTATAATAGTACATAAGATCCTAATGAGATAATTAACAATGTGAAATAGGAAGAAAAGGACTAAAGGTGTAGGGAAAGTGGGAAGGGTAGGGGAAAAGGGAATAAGGGAAAAGAAAAAATATGAGAAAATGAAAAAATGGAAATAAAGTGTTTGTAAATGGGGAGGGGAGGAGGGGGTGAAGGAAGAGCAAAGACAAGGGGAAAAAAGGAGAACCAAGACCTGTCGTGTAAAGGTACAAGATCCCAATAGTGAATGTAACTGTACTGTATACCTAAAATGTACCAATAAACTCAATTTAAAAAAAACATGAGTACATTCTGGTGGCCTTTGGCTGGGGACAGACATCACTAGATAAGTACTGAAATCTGCAAAACAGTCCAGAAGACAACTTCATCCCTGTCACTGACCACCACTCCATTGGCCCTGGTCCCCCATTGGCCGTGGTCCCCAACTTGGCCATCAACACCCACCACTGAGGCTCAAAATGCATCTGCTTATAACCAAATTCTTGAATTATCTGAAAAGTGCTCAGAGCACAGGTCTGTACCAGTAAGGGGTTCAAAAATCTGCCTGCAGATAATATCTCCTCTCTGCAAAGAAAACTGCTATAGAATCACTCCTCCCTTTATGTACACTAAATGCAAAATTGCTTCTTCCTTTTCTTTGTAAAAATCTTGTCATCTCCCTCTTCAGTTTCTCTTTCTTGCTCACCCTCAATCCAGTTTACCCATTTAATAATGCCAATTGTTCAGTTCTCACAGACATCTTTTGGCTTTTAATCTCCTCAGAGGAGAGCAATTGATAAATATAAAGTGAAACTCTATTTTGGAAAAATCTATCATTTAATTTGAGGTGTTAGCCACAGTGACCAACAACAATAAATGCATTTCTGTCCATAAGATAATTCTCCCTCCCTTTCCACATGTGTGTGTGTGCACTTGTGTGCTCATGTACATATGCCAAGTTGTGTAGCTATCATGGCTTAGCACATCCGAGTTTGTCCACTGAAGAATGACCAGGATCCTCTAAAGGTGGCTTCATCTATTGGTGCCTTCCCAGAGCCCTGCACCAGTCTAGAAATCAAACAAATTGGGTGCAACAAGCCATTTACAGCAGTTCCCAAAAAGAAAACTTTGGGCACATTCCCAGAAAACTGAGCGTGTGAGTTGAGACTGCAAAGGACTTATAAACCTTCCTCCACAGTCATAGTTTACTTAGTTTATTCTGTCAACACTGTTTATTCTTTCAACTCCAGTTTCTCAGCAGAACAACTCATCACACTGCACCCAGACTTTTCAGACACACAGAAAATATCCAGAAAGAACCATAGAGAGATCAATCTTGCTGATTCACCCACTATGCCATTTGTTAACAAGCTTGGGGATTCGCTTTTCCACAATTTTTCAACACTTAGGAAATTAATTCTTCCAGTCATCCTCATCTTTAAACAAAATAGCCTACTTAATTGGAAATTTAAACTAATTTTCATTATTGGAGTCCCCTTCAGAAAAGTATCTGACCAAAATAATCAGTTAATGA